TAACGTCTTCGATAAAGTTTGTTGCTTATGTTGTTTTATAATTAATACTTGTGTCCATTTAGTATAATTATATACTTTTTCAGAAAATTTAAGGGTATATAAATTTACAGAATGTATATGATATAAATTAAACTATGGATGTAAAATACGAAGTATATGCATAAACAAATATAAAATTAGTAAGTATCTGTAGAATATCAAAATAAAATAGCAATAAAATAGCAGATAAAATATCTAAATACAGATATATAATAGTCTATAGGTATATAATATTTAATTATGAAAAAAATAAAACATGTGAAATATTTAAATTATTAATAGCATAAAAATCAATTGACTGAAAAAATGTTTAGGAGATAAATAGTAAAGAAACATATCACATTTTTAAAAGCAAAGCAAAATTATATTTGACAAAAGCAACAAATAAATACAAAATATTTTTCGGAACAAATTATTATCATGAATATGATGGTGAATATAATATTTAGTAGATTATTAACACTCATAATTCCTGTTATAAACATTCTTTGCACTTGTAAGTTCAAGATAAGAAACTTAAAACTTATTATTTATAATTTATAATTATTTGATTCCTCCTATTTTTTATGAATTTATAAATAGATTGGGCATTTTTATGCATTGAAAGAAAATTTTGAGATAAAATGTTCAACGCAATACAATATTTCTTATAATAGCTGAAATAATTCTCTATAATTGTTTTCTCTATTTCTTCAATTTTTAAATGTATAAAATTGCATAAACATTTATAGTTTAATTATAGTGCTCACATACATATTCATTTAAAAGTTCTATTTTTATATTTTTTCACTCTGTTTCAGATGCTTTGGGAACTACATTCCAATTAAAGCTACGTCTGATCAAATAAATCGTGAGTATTTTATCACAAATATATATTTGATAAAAAAGCATTCTCCAATCAATAAATAATAGGATCAGCAGATATTTGATTTTCATATCTCTTACAAGAAAGAATTGCAGAATCTGTATTAAAATCTTCCTGCTTTATTAGCCATGACCTACCTCCACCCATGCATCCGAACAAAACACTTCGAGACTGCTTTGCACAGTACGTAACTACTACGTACCTAACTAAGTTCTATTAACTGTTGCGTTTGTTTGCACATTAGGTGCAAAAGTTGTTATAAATGCATAAGTCATTTATGCATATGTCATTTGATAAATTGCCGCACACTTTCATAATACGATACATTAGCAAATATATTTCTATTCTTCATATAACCAAGTTATTATTTGATCTAAAATTAAATTATAAATTATTTATGAAAATATCCAATGAGTAGCGTACACTTTTATGTTACAATTTATCAGCAAGTATAGTTTTGTTCTAAATTTATTTATTAATTTTTTTATTAAATTAAATTTATTTATTAATCTTGAAATCAATCATTTAACTAAATTATTATTTAATCTAGAATTAAAATATAAGTTATTTCTTCATGAAATTACCCGATGTGCGGCGTACACTTTCATAATATAAGATAAACATATTTTTATTGGAAATTATAATATCATTTTGTTTTTGGAACTAAATTATTTAACTATATTATTATTTTATGTAATTTATAAATTATTTAGACATATTTCTATAATATATACATTCATTATATTTCTGTAATAAATATTTTTAGATGTCCATGAAATACTTATATAAAATATTTCTATGTCAATATTTGAACATCTTCAGATTCTATTCTATTAATATTAAAACGTTGTTTTTTATTGCAATCTCATTTATCACATAGTTTTATCTACAATTAAATTACTTATTCGATGGATTTATTTGCGTAATAATATTTTAGAAATTTAAAATTTTTATGACTTCTACATTAAGATTCTTTAATATTTGAATATTGTCAGATTTTATCCTAGAAATATTTTAATTTCTATTAACCTTTATAAGTATGTTTAATTCACGTTAATATTTGCATTTCATACATTGTACGAAATAAAGAGAGTGGCATTATTCCTCCCGATAGCAAAAGGCATTTGATGTTCATAATGGCAAGCGAAGAAACGGAGGCAAAACAAAGAACGGATAGTACATGCAATCACGGTCATAAGCTGATTTGATTATGATCAGAAAAAGGAATTCAAAATACGTCATGAAATGTCGTAAACGCAGACAATATGCAAAATAATGTAAAATATTGTATTGGAATTGATAGTCTTGCCTTTGGTTCGTCCATCTATAGAATTGGTTGGGACGATGATTTAGTAGTTAAATGTGACGTTCGCCGATATAAAATTAGTTGCCATTTCATCGTGTGTTTCTCACGTAAAAGTAAATACCTTGAGCTCTTGTGAATTTTAGCCAGTGAATTTTAAAATGCACAAAAATTTTATTCAGGTTTTGTTTAAACGATAAATTTGAAAATCAACGAGTTGAAAGAAAATAAATTCAGATCTTATTTTTGAGATTCATACGTGCATCTTTAAAAAATTACTTATAAAAACATTTACTATAATTTAATGCAGCAATGTTGTATGATTTTTATTATAAATTTTCAATAAATAATAAAGCATATATTTATATAAGTAATAATATCTCTTTATAATAATGTATGGTGCATACGAAAATTTTTAATGAAATTTTAATTAAAAAATTATATCGTATAGTTATTTTTAAGGTAGGAAAAATATGAGTCCACGTATAAAAAAATCACCTCTTATCAGTACTCGTTACAAGTTCTTCGTAAATAAGTGATGATAATAAAGTACTTATAAAACTTTTCAGATAACAGTACGAATGATTCATAATTATTCACGTTAAAATACATCAAACGTTTAGATTGTTAAAGAAGCAATGCCATCATTTCGAATAGATATAACTTATAAATTTATATTTCTTTTTAATTAAAAATTAACTTATAAATTTATATTTCTTTTTAATTAAAAATTATAATAATTGTAAAAATTTTAATAAAATTAAAATAATTTCATTAAAATTTTATTAAAATTTTCTACTTCATATTGTTTTATTTCATAGAATATACATGTTCCTGTTTTTTTCGATAATATTATTAATACTATAATAAATTAAATATTAAATGTAATTCAAACGTAATTCAAATATAAATATTAAATTAATCTCTTAAAGATTATCGTATTTTATTTAAATCTTTTTTTAAATCATTTTATCTTGCGAATTTATTTTTTTAGTATTTTAATTATTAAATGGAATTCTAAGAATTCGTTCAATATCTTTTTTATTATTAATTGCTTTAGCCAAAGTGTACAATTATACAAAATTTAAACGAATTTATATATTTTTTACATTAATAAATGACTTATCAATCCTTAATGAATTAAATTTTATTTATTATCTATATTATAGTATACATTATACATAGTACACATATATTTATATCATAGTATTATATATAGTATATGTATACCATATATATATATTTTTTTATAAATATATATATATATATATTTATTATAATTTCTACTATAATATTTATGTAATTATAATGTAAACTATATATTAATTGTAGGACTATTGTAATTTAACATTAATAGCAACATACTAATTTTAATTTTAATGTCAATAATATTTCATCTTAATGATAAGAACATTGAAAATATAAACTAATTATAAATTTTATTTTCTTTTTCTCAGGTGAATCAGATTAAAAGATGCAAAGAACACTGTTGCCGTTGTTCTTAACCCTGTTGAGTTATTCTGGACTGACTAGTGGGCTCTGCATCCTGCAGAATGGTACAGTAGCTCGTTGCCATGAACTCGAAGATGTCAAATATATCAAGACCTATGATCTTGATTCATTGAAGACTTCCATAGAAAAATCTATCCTTCATCCGGGGTTTTTCGTCAATTTGACCAGCCTTCGACATTTAGATCTTTCAGGAGGTGCCATTAAGCAAATAGGACCAGGAAGTTTCAGTCAATTGATGAATCTAAGGAGTTTAAATCTCGCTGAAAATCGTATCGAACATTTGGAGTTAGGTTCTTTGGATGGTTTAAATCATTTGCACAGTTTAAACCTTCGTAAGAACAATCTTCGACATTTGCCGCCAGCCTTGGCTCGTTTAAAGATTCTGAAACATCTGGATGTTCAAGGTAATCCGTTGCAATGTGATTGTGCAACACTTAAAGTGAGAGATCTGATCGCGAAAAGAGGCGTGAAAGTCTCGAAGAAAGTCTTTTGCGCCAATCCGAGAAACGTGAAGGGAACGTCGTTGTATAAGTTAGACACTGCAGTCATTTGTCACTTTGAGGAACAAGATCGTGAGATGCAGAATGATCAGGCGTACAAGGACTCGTTGGAAGATTATGGTTCTGGTGATTTATTCGATAAAGAAGACGACAGCATGGAATATGTGATCGAAGGCTCTACTATGGAAGCTCCGAAGCTCGAAAACGAAACATCGTTTTCAGAAATTTCTGTTACCACTGAATTATCACGAGAAGTTACTGCTACTACGGAGGAACAAGAACTTCCTATTCAGACGACAGAAACTGTGAAATCGACAACCAGCACGGACGACGAAATTTTCTTTGATTCCGAAGAGAAAATTAAGTTAACTACAGTTGACACGACAACAGAGAGAAAGAAAGTTCACGAAGATGGTTTATTTTATCCGACAGAAGGTTCCGGCGACGAAGAAGACGGTTCTGGAGAAGGATCCGGAACGGGAGTAGATTTTGGCGAACAAGTGTATCAAACGGATAACGACAAGAAGGAAGGTTCTTTTTTCGAGGGGCTTTATGATTTATTTATAGGTTCAACGAAACCATCAGAGGAACCTAACTTGGAGGAAGAACAATTTATCGACGCATCTTCGACTAAAGGTATCGAAGAGGAAGAATCACTTGTTAACAAAACCGCGGTTGAAAAAGAAATCGTACCGATGAAAGTCGACCTCGACGAAACAGTCTCAGGTACCACTGAAGTGGCTATCAAAACTACATCAAGACCCACTAGTAGAGTTGAGTTAATTGACAACGAGTTGCATGACATGACAAAATTGGGCAACGTTAAAATGGACGAGGAAGACACGGAAGATGGTTTGGCCGTATCTTCAGCGAAACAATCGAAGAAAGGAATGGGTTCTTATGTTGTTCTAGCCGCTTTATTGGCAATTTTAGCAACACTCATAGGATTTGCGGCTTATAAAGGTGATTTCTGTAGGAAAAGGAGGAAACGCAGTGACGTTGAGAATGGAACCGAATTGAGAGACATGCAGAAAGCTTTATTGGAAACGGGAAATTCAACAACGCAACCGAAAATAGCTTCGAATGGAAACGTGGAGAACGCACCGTTGGTTGAAGATGCGACGGATCATGACGAAATAAAGAGTTCCAACGACTACCGTGTTACGGCGGAAATACCGAAATCTCCAAATGGTACTTCCGGTCATGCAGAACTGTTGAAACCACCACGAGCGGCCACTCCGCAGAACGATCAAAAGATCAAAGAAACAATTGATCAGGATGAAAAATGCCCCAAAGATGATTCGTTACAGACAAACTCAGTAGATCCAGTAATCAACAGCAGCCCGAATTTTCGGCTAGCTGAAGAGAACCAACCTCCCTTAAGTCCTGGTGCTCAGAGAGTAAAGATCACCTTGCAAGAAAACCCCGATAGCGTGCCAAGGACGCCTATACTCATCACAAGAACAGCGGCTGGTGAGAATCTAGTCAAGACACCATGAGGTAAATTCAAAGCTCATTAAGTGGATGAAAAGTTTCGAATCTACCGAGAGTGTCAAAACGAAAGCGCAGGGGAGATCGGTGTGATCGTGTGTTCCAGTTTATAGAATTCATAATGCTGTCAGTGTTCCTAAATCCGTACCGGATCCGGGCCTTGATTTCAGTGCATTTCTATGATAAAGTGAGACATTCAATTACTATCGTTGAATTTGTGTTTAAGTGTGAAACGGATTGCTCCAGTAAGTGAAAGTCCATTTTCGTAGCGTATAGTTCAGTGACGATTCGTTTACTTGCTATGAAGAAATAAGCGAAACGAAGTTGTTTGTACATATTTGAAAATAATAGTCGTATATAGTAATACTTCCGTTGTTTGTATAAGGTTTGTGGATACAAAACTATTTGATACGTTTTATATGCGATTATGCAATATTAACACACTAGTCAGTTCTCTTAAGCATCTTCCATCTTGTGTGAACTCAGATGGAATTTGGATACAATAAATTCCATGGGAAGTCTCTGAACTCGATGTATACCATTATTGTTTCGATATAGTAACATGAATGATACTAGAATTATAATCTAGAATAATCATATTTAACGTTAAAAATTTTCCTCAACTGATTTATATAAGCCTATATATAGTTTCCCTCAAATTGTTTTTAAGATATTATAATTGGACTTCAGATTTTTATGCACTTATAAGAAACTTAAACAGAGAAATGCATATAATGCACATAATGTGCATTATAATAAAAATATATAAAATATAAAGCGTAAATAATAATAATTTAAAAGATGAGAGTAATTTTTATTTTGGTTCTATTTGTTTAATGAAATTGAAATTTGCATAAATATTCGTAACCTAATTTCAATATACTGATAACAAGCAAATGTTTCGTTTCGTGATATCAAACGTTCAGGAAGAAGAATACGAAAGAATTGGACTTTCGCTAGCGGAACATGTTAATTAAAAAATTAATGTATATAAAAATTAACAAATATTTAATATTATAAATATTAAAATTTAGCCTTCATTAAATGTTTGGAGAGCTGAACTATATTATAATATGTTAATAGTAGACAAATGTTTTGTTTTGTGATAATAACACTAGAACTATATTGACGACTAAAATATAAAATTTATATCAAAAAAATTAGAGTATTTAGAAGACTTTAATTTAGAAAAAAAGAAAAGAAACTATAATATATACAAATAATAATTAATAAATTTTGAAGTCTATATCATAATACAGGAAAAAAATATATATAAGACTTTAAAAGATTAAGAGTGCAAGCGATATTTCTCGAAAGATCATTAATTTTATAAAAGCTGGATTATTGAAAATGACCAATGATTATTCTGATAGTTCTAGTGTTAAACGTTCCTTTGGAAGAATATAAAAGAATTTGATTTTCGCTAGCAAAACTTAACACTTAATAATAACAACGAAGAAAATGAAGTTATATAAAGTGTATATTCTATATATTTATAATAATCATTCCATGATTAATCATATCATCTCTTCTAATAATTTTAATAGTCGGACCGATAATTTTAAGTAAAATATCGATATGAAGTAAGGTAATATAATTATATAATTTATATATGGAAGCAAATAGTATATTTGAAATTTGTTGTTTTTGAAATTGAAATTAGAACTTTGACGATTTGAATATAAAACAACTGTCTGCGTCGTATAAGACTAATTGTTTGACGCATTTTTTAGAAATTTCTAAATAATCTTTGTACAAAAATTTTATCACTAAATTATAAGTGATAAAATTATAAGGTAATCTATTTATATAAAAGCAACATTATAAAATATTATATTAAATATTGTTTAAATATTTGTTCCAATGCATACAAAGTAATGGGAATTGTCGTGGAAATTGGTAAAAATCTGAAAAATTAGCTAAGTAAAAACAAATTGTAGGATAATATCGAATTTAAAATTATCGAATTCTTTCGAAATGAAAAATAAATATTTCTAAAGATAATTCTCGAAATCTTGGAGCTTTGACCTTGGATACAAATATTCCCATCACTTTTGTCTATGTTTATTCTTCTACACCAAATTCCTATAAGTTTTTGTACATCAAATGCGTAAAATATCGAAGTATTTATCATTAATCCATTAAAGACCAAGCAATAATTCATCACTTAATCAATTGTAAATTCTTCAATTTATTTAAATTTCATAAAATTGTAGAATCTATATATGGAAAACATGATAATGAAAAAGTATTAAACGAGACTTTGAAATTTTCTTTAATATTAAAAAGCAGTATTTAAAAATATAAAAAGATGTATCCAAAAATAAAATTTGATATTATAATAATATTAATAATAATTATCGATATTATGTTATCAGTATTAAGAAATAGGATTTGATAATATGAATTTAAAATGAATTATAAATAAAATGTAACATTAATACAATGTTGGTCCTTAATGGATTAAAACAATGAATCCTTGTAAAAATTACTTCTAAAGAAAATCTATGCGTCTTTGTATTGTAACAGTACATTGATCGTGGAAACATGAAATATTTTTAATTTTATTGTTACTTCAAAACATCATTTTGTTGTTACTGTGATTAACATTGAAATGCTAGGGAAGGGTAACATTTGATCGTTCGTGATATCATTGACATATCACCATTATTTTCGCCATTAATTTTGTTCCCTAGATAAGTTTTTTCCATACAACATTTATGAAATATATATTGTTATAATATACATATATATATATATATATATACAATATATAGAAACGAATTGTATGATAGCTATATATATAGTTGAAACAATTATATCGATATATTTTTCAAGCGTTTATAATTTTCAACACTGGATGCGAAATAAAATATTAATATTTATAAAATATACATTTGTTTTTTGTTTGATATTGATATCAGTCCTTTATTAACCACATTGTTATATTTATAAAAATTCTGTAATTATCTTCTAAGCTATTCAAATTATTTGAGCTATACATGGAGTTTTTAGTGAATAACAAATATAATTTGTTTTATTTTAAGTAACTACACACAAATTTTTTAAAGAATAGTTTATCATTTCTTTCAAATACTTAGATGATCAAGGTAGTAAAATTAAAATATTAAGGATCTAAGAAAATATTCCATCCTCTATTAAAATATGTTACATATACATATATATATTCTAAAATTACAC